ATATCAATCAAAATTCTAGTTGTCTTAAGTAGAATTCTAGTAGATTTAACCAAAAAATAGTGATTTTTGTCCATTTTCCACACACAGAGTTACTATTTAATTCAACCGAATCATTTTTCTCAGTGTAATCATTTAGTATAACAAATCAAACTAACCAAAACTCCTTATAAATCAAAAGAACTAAGAAAGAACATAGGCAATAGGAATCAAGCGCGGAAAACGTTGCGCAAATAATACGACTATATATATATATATATAAAGCGTAAAATTTCTTTATTTTACTAAACACGCTTACATGTTTCGGCTCATTTTTGAGCCTTCTTCAGAGCAACATAAACTCACATATATTATATATATATATAAATTATAGTCGTATTATTTGCGCAACGTCTTTCGCGCTTGATTCCTATTGCCCATGTTCTTTCTTAGTAATCATTTAGTTCTTGTTAATTCGTATGTCTTCTATAATGCAACTACATATATGTATATATATCGTTCGTGTCTTATGATGGCAGGTTCATTTACTAATGAAAAGAAGACTCCGTCTTAAATAGAACGATATAATAAGAATGCGATTTTATTTTATCAACAATAAGATACAATTTTCTTTTTCAAATAATAAAACACGCACATGTGCATGCTTATATGCATACTCGTATGTGTAATACAGGGACACGCATGTATATAATCGACACAAAAACTTGCCACCCTATGACTAGCAAGGAATATCATTTGAAATGTGTTTTTCGAAAACTATCATCCTTGAGGATCTTCATATTGATATTTATACTTATTGTATAATATACATTGATATTTATAGGATTCAATGGAAAGATAACACGCGCGGCTGCAATATTTTCGCGAGAATTGTTTGTTTAATATCCATTAATTCTTTCGCGAAATATATTTTTCATCCCATTTCAAAATTCTCTCACTTTTCTCCGTCCTAATTATGAAAAATATTACATTTTATCTACAATAATAATAAAGTACTTCGCAAATTAATTGTTTTGTTATTCATTTATATGAATAATTATTGTTTCTTGCAATATTTATACTTCAGTACGATTATCTCAATCAATTTTTTCAACTGAATATTAACATGGACTACTATTTGCGACTTGACACAACGAACGTTGTTAACTGATCACAAGAGAGTAGAGACTACATTGTTACTACAAGAATAAAGAATTGCCACCATCACATTATTAGCGTAATTATAATAGAATTGTGTATCCAACCATCACAGGAACTTAATTTTTGCGTAATTATAATATAATTATTTGTATCCAGTCGTTGTAAAAACTTAATTTATTGCGTCTAATTTTTTTGTAAACACTGAGGATGGCCTGACAGAAGGTTGAAACATATGAATATTTAAATATATCATCTATTGACTCGTAGCCCTTATTATAAGTTTATGTTTCTTGCAATTGTTTTCGATTAAGTAAAAACTTAAGTGAGAATCGTAGATATTTTTGACGCGGAAATACGTCAAAACATGATGAGGACCTCGGAAAGAAAATAAACCGAAGCGGAAAGAAAATACTTTAAAATCGAAAATTTGTTTAAATCGCAATTTTTCAGTACCGCGATTACAATACGCTTAATCGTGTTAGCCGTGCCCACTGAGGAATAAATTATATATTCTTAGGGAAAAATGAGAACCGACGAATGTAGTTCTTGCAGCTTAAGGTAAACTAGAATCTGATGCAACATTGATTCCACATATCGTCAGAACGCACATCGCGTCGTTAAATTCCTTTCCGTCGCTTTTAGATATCGAAAGAAAGCAAAATATCATATAATTGCTGTCTTGACTTGTCGACTTGAAAATTAATAAAAAATTAGACATATTTAGATCAGAAATCAAAATTACGTGAAATGATCTTTCATCAATTCTATTTATTTTTTTCTTTTTATTCATATTATAATTTTGTATTTTGAGAATTTATTAGTTAGAAAATCGTTATTTTTAAGACATCTGTTCATTTCAATTAATTGATTTTTATAGCTTAAGTCTCTAAAATTTTTGCTAGTCTTCAAAGAAAGGCAGATTGAAAAAATAATATTATCACCAGAATTACAAAGTGTTATCCAATGGAATGTGAAATGGAAACAAATAAAAACGTTATAATAAAAAAAACTAATAATTACTCGATAAACGACATGTCGATATCGTTATATAGCTTTTTTACCCCAGGTTTGGAAATATTATATTTTATAAAAATAACGCTACTGTTACCCGTAAAAAAAATTTTTATATGGATTTAATTTAATATAAGCTTAATATAATTTAATATAAATTTTAGTAAAATTTAATAAAATACTAAATAAGTATCCTAATAATAATCTTAATAACGGTTCGGATTTATTAAAATCTTATAAATATTTAATTTGGACCACATAAATATCCATATTAAGTTATATAAGATTCTTTCTTAAATGTTTATATGGAATTCTTAAAATCTATCCATATTTGATCTTAATAAGGAGCTTATAAGTTCTTCGTACGTTTTGTACGTCTTTTAGTTTTGTCGAAAAGGCAACTTAAAAAAGGCATCTTTCTATGGTTGCTGTTTCGGAAAAGTGAAAAGTCAACTAAAAGGTATCTTTCGCATTACCGAAAAGACAACATAAAGAACATATCTTTCCATTACTTTATTTATACCTTTCATTTACCCGCGAGCATGGTAGTACGCGAAATCGTTACCAGACGGACGCGATGGAATTCAATTTCTCGTGTTTAAGATTTTTTATTCTATGATTTAAAAAAAATACTTTAAACTTTATCAGATTTTATAGAGATATTTTATCGGAAATTACAGAATGAGAAACTTTAAAGAAGTCTTAGAATATTTCAGAATTCACATATATGAAGAATTCTAGAAAAAGGTATATTATGACTTTCTCAACACTTCTAAAAACTATTCCAACTTATATAAAAAAATCTGAAAATTAGATAAAAATTTTGAGAAAAATTTCACCAAGGAAGGCAACGTAAACATAAACATTCTGCATACTATGAACTTACGTTCTGTATACTATGAACTTACGTTCTGTATACTATGATCGGCCGATTCGCTTTACGGCTTTTAATACTTTACATTTTTGTATATGCCATAAGCTTTTTGCCATTATAAGAAGAAAATAACGATCGTTATCGAAAAAAAGCAATATCTAACAGCATATAACGATGCTGACATTAAGAATTACAAACTACTAAAGACACAGGGAAATGGTTAAAATTCATAATTACTCTCGACATTGTAATAAATTGATATTATAAATAAACATATTTACAAATATTATATAATCATATTTACAAACATTACATAATCATATCACAATAATCATATTCGTTTAGCAAAATTGCAATCGGTAAAATAATGTAATTTGAATAATAAAATATTAATATATCAAATACGATAGAGAACGCTAACATGGTCAAAGTTAGATATTTCAAATAATACGATATATGAAGAGCAGACTTTCAAAATGCGTTTTGTTCAAAATTTGTAATTTTCAGAAAACGAGAAAGAAAGAAACTCCGTTCATAAGAAAATTACGCACAGAAAATGATAATATGCCAATCAGTAGGATGTGAAATATTAAACAAAATTGCTAAACAATTGCTAAAAATGTTAAACAAATGCATTTTGTTTGTCTCTAGTTAAAAACATAATGCACTTCGAAATGACTATGTTTTTTAGCATATAAATTAACGATGAAAAAATGCTTTCTGAACATCTCGGAGTAGCTTATAATATGAGTTTTTCACTGAACATTTCCTGTAAGCGCAAAATGTTTCTAGAATGTTACATGAATATTATTAAAAAAAAATCAAAATAATGTTATTATAATATCTCGAAAATATCATAAATACTTTTTTAATATTACAAGAGTATTCTATAGAGGTTATAAGTCCACTTATATAATAAACCTAGGTATTATATTTTAATATTCCTGAAACATTATTAAAATGTTAATAAATATTAATTATTTTTTATTTTGTGCAATTTAAATTCACAATCCAGTAACGAAAAGTTCTTATCAGTCTATGCCGCATCTTGTGCTAAAAAAAAACGTTTCAATGTGATTTTAAGTACATATCCAGTTCTACAACTGAGAGCAAAAATCATTTTTAGTTTTTAAACGTATACTTATACTGGAACAGATGTAACAGTTTTACAAATTAAAGTAAATGCTGTTATAATACTTTCTAATGTTTATACGATATTACAGTAACATTAAATAAATGTTACTTTTAATAATCACATAATATTATTAGGAGTGGACATATAACCATCCATTAATATTTCAGGAATATTATTTAATATTATATAATTTTAGTAAAATATTATTAAAATGTTATATTTAATATTCTGAAAATATGCCTAAAATATTATTTAATATTAAATATAATATTAAATAATATTATGCGCTTATAGGGTTACGCCGTCTCTAACTAAAAAAATGAAATTTTGGACAAAATACATTTTGGAATTCTGCTCTTTATATATTCTTTATTAAATCAATTTATTTCAGATATGATTGCGCGATAATTTTTCGGACTTTCAAGACATTCAGTCTGAAATGCTAATAATCCCCCCTAAATTAAATTAGAAAAACTGTAAAGAACTTATTGTCAAAAATATTATCTTAGCCAGAATTCGAACCTGCATTCCGGAGCGAGTGTCTTAACCAACTCAACCACTGAGGTTTCGGAAATATTTCTCGCATAACTGATATATATATGTATATATATAGATGTATATATATATATATGTATATATATGTAGAGAACGCGTATATGGCCGCGTGTGTGTAAACGTTATTAACTCTTACTATACAAGGTCGGGTCACTATTTAATTGACCGAGCGATTCCTCTTCGTGCAAGTTTCTTTGAGTCTTTCGATAATTATAAATTATACTATATTTTATTATTTTCCAAAATAAAATTTTAATATTTATTTTAGAAAGTTGAAAGTATGTGTTGGTGAATTTTTTGAGATTTTTTGAATCATTCTGAATAGATGAAAAAAGCGGACGGATTTAGTGACCCATGTTTGAATGAATGAGGCACCAAATTGTACCTTGTATCGTAAGGGTTAAGATTTAAGAAACGACCGTATATATGAATACATCAAATACAATAGAGAACGCCAACACGGTCAAAGTTAGATGTTTTGAATAATAGAATATATATTCTTTATTAAACTTGGCAAAAGATTTATTCATTTAGCATAAATGCTACAGTTTTTTTTGAAGGAGTCAACTTAATTAGATTATTCGAATTTTCAACTAATTCAGTGATACTAACTCGACCACGTTGACGTACAAATTTGGCAACAGCTTGAAGTTCATCTTCCGATATGTAAATAAACTTTCCTCTATCATCAATTACACCAGTTAAATTACCATTAGCTTGCAATTCTTGAATTCTTTCTATTACGTTCGCTGTTTTCAGTCCAAAATGTGCAGCTAGATCTTCTAAAACCAGCACTTTATTGAGCTTAATATACGCAAGAAATTCTTGCAACAAGTTCTCCTTGCATTCTCTGTTTTCCTCTTCAAAACCTTCTTCCTCCACTCTAAAAGCTTCCTTCATCTTCAAATATTTTTCATATTCTTGCCATTCTTTTTCCTCTCTAGCTTTCTTTTCTGCTTCTTCTGCTAGTAGTTGCTCAACGCGCTCTTTCTCAGTCTCTTTATCTCTTTCCTCTTGTAAAAGTTGTTCTCTTTTTTTATGATCCTCTCTCTCTCGTTCAGCCGCCTCTCTCTTAATCTTCTTTTCTGCCTTAGCCGCTAACTTTGCCCGTTTTTTCGTTCCTATTTTTTCGTTCTTATGATCTTCATCCTCGTCGTTATCTTGATAGATCGGTCTGTCATTTTCCTCAGGTTGTTGATCAGCATGATTAACATTTTCCTGCATACGACGTCTGTGCCTTACAGCGCCTCTTCGCCTCAATGGTCTATGTTGGTCTATATCAGCATTTTGAACGTTGGCTCGTTCATTCCGCTTACCTAAGATTAAAATTTATTTATTTACTAATGTGAGACATGTACAACAATTTTCTTCAATAAACAAGATAGATTTCTTATATATTCCTAATTGTTCTACTGTTAGTTTTTCGTGAATATAACTCGCCTTTTAAATTAAGTGACAGAGTATAGTGACACGAAAGAAATACAAATTGATACATAAAAAGTTAAGAAAGCAAGTTATTGAAGGTTTATAAAATAAGAACGTAAATTTGTACCTAAAAGAGCGGTACATATAATAGCTAGTATAACGATTGCTGCGGAGATATATATCAACAGATCGACATTCATTCTCAAAGAGGCTCAAAAAGAGGATCCTCGACTCCAACTTGCTCCAATTTGATAAATGTTGACTTGTATCGATCCGACTTCTCCTGGTTTGGTACGGCTGGATAAGACTCGCCGCTGGGAATTGCTGGGAATCTGGGATTTGGGTCAATATTCGACCATAATCAGCGCCATATCACTGTACCGCACATCGTACAAATCATACACATACGGGATGGCGGCTGGACGCCTGGACGGCATCGGGCAGGGGCCACAGGGGCACAATTCTAGCGATTACAGCGCAACGGTATACGCAGGAATTTAAGAAAGATATTTCTCAGTTATAACTACTTGTGCGTGGCGGTGCCACATGCAGATATTGCAGATATTGCAGGTACGTGCAGATACGTGCAGATACGTGTATCGACGTGACGTCTACTTGACCAATCAATTTGTTTTCAAAACTTTAATTGAAGAAACCTAGCTGATCTTACTCAGTCTTGCTTTTCGAAGGTGACGTGTAATCCGTATGGTCGCCCCTACTCCAGTCTTCTCTGGTTTCGTTGGATCTCGTTGACTCTCGTCTGGCATGCGTGCGAACGTTTATTCGTGATTTCATAATCATCTTGTCACTGGCGATAAACTGTTACGCGATGTTAAAATACGGAAGTATTTTTTTCATTTTTCTGTGCACACTCCAATTTGGAACAGGACTGTATTTTCATATCGGCGAAACTGAACGGAAATGCTTTATCGAAGAGATCCCTGATGACACTACGGTTTTAGGTAAAATTCAATAATTTCATTATTTCAATAGCCTTCTGTTACAATAGCTTACTGTTTCTTTTCCAATTGTTGTTCAATTATCTCATTAGCAAGATTCAAAACTTACAAAAAGAAAGTGAAACAAGATACATTGCTTCGTGCTTCCTACTTTCGCCTATCGTTTATTCATCGAGAAATATTTTTTTATTCGCAATTTGCAGTCAATTACAAAGTAGAACTTTATGACCCAAGAAGCGGAGGTTTCATGCCAAGTAGTCCTGGCATTGGTATGCACGTTGAAGTAAAGGATCCTGATGACAAACCTATCCTCTCTCGAGTTTATAGCTCCGAAGGTCGAATTTCCTTTACCTCGCATACTCCAGGAGAGCACGTAATTTGCTTGTACTCGAACAGCACTGCCTGGTTCAGCGGTACTCAATTGGTGAGATACATACATTGTATAATTATTGTTATACCAAACAAATCAAAGTGAGAAAGAGAGAGAGAAAACAAAAATAAAGGACACACACACACACACACATATATTGAAAAATATATTTCATTTGCAGAGAGTACATCTGGATATTCAAGTAGGGGAACATGCAATCGATTACGCCAATGTAGCACAGAAGGAAAAGTTATCAGAACTCCAACTTAGAATACGTCAGCTTCTAGATCAAGTCGGACAAATAACGAAGGAGCAAAACTATCAGAGGGTATGAAGTAATTAAAATGCATAGTTTCTATAGACATTTTCCAGAAAGGACACAGTTAGTCGTTTCACCCTTGTTTAATGTTGAAGAAACAACAAGAATGTAACAATTCACTCTGTTATATTGTGTCCTTACTGAAAAATGTCCTTTATGTATAAAGCAACATTCTCGAGTATCGTAAAAAAAGAAACATTACGAGAGATTATATTGTGCGAAAATATATATAATTTTTCAGTATCGGGAAGAACGGTTTAGGCAAACGTCCGAAAGCACTCATCGTCGTGTATTCTGGTGGTCTCTGACTCAGACGGTAGTAGTCCTAATTATGGGTGCGTGGCAAATGAAACATCTCAAGAGTTTCTTCGAAGCAAAGAAATTAGTTTAAGTGTTACGATATAAAACACGCGTCTTGATTTTAACTGCAGTTCATCATTTGTACGTCTAAATTTCATTTGTAGCGTTAGGAAATTTCCATCATAATATTTGAGCACGGTGCTTATCAAATAAACATGTTTCTATCGAATTATCGGTTGTTTTTTTTATAATAAATTAATTGTGAATATATGCAATTGTGTAATGTGTAGTAAGTTATAATAAGAATAAAATAAGTATCTTAAATGTAAAATAAGTCTTATTATTTTATTTTTCTATTCTATGAAATTTCTACATCATCTTTTTCCTGATTTCGGAATCTCCAAATTCTTAAGGCGTCTCCAGATGATATGGCCAATGTATAGACTAACTTTGCACACATTCGCACAGATTTCCTGATTTCAATAGTCGTCAACTTTAACGCTTAATATCTCAGTTCGCAGGACAGAATCTGGAACTGCCCTGCGAATTACTTTTTTATCTAAAATACTTTTTTCTGCCAGATTCTTTCATTTTATACAAAAACGCATCGAATAAGTCTAATTTTATCGAAATCGGAGGAGAGGCAGTTCTTCTGGATAATAATCCCTTTTTCCAATTCTAGAATTGCAAAGCTCCCTAAGGGTAAAATCACACGGTGCGGAAAAAGACTGCGGAATAGAGAATGCGTCATTGAAGCAACCAATCGGAATTCCGAATAGCGCTGATTGGTTGCTTCAATGACGCATTCTCTATTCCGCAGTCTTTTTCCGCACCGTGTGATTTCACCCTAAAGCCTTGTGAAGAAATTGGTCCGAGATCTCGGAGAGAGAAAGAATTAACCAATCACATTTAAACAATTTAGTCACATGATCAATGCGATTGGTCAATTCTTTCTTCTTCCGAGATCTCGGACGGATTTCTAGTATCGTGGACACTGGGCTTAATATCTCTTCGATTCTAGCATTTCTAGCTAAAAAGGAATTGAATCGACAATGAATCAAGTTTCTCAAAACGACAGACGGATTCGATTCTCGAGTGTGAAAGAATCGATTCTCAATGCATCGAATTAGAATCTGATGGTCGATTGTGTATCTCGAAATGAGAAGAAAATTACAAAAGTGAGTAAATTCACTAGAATATTCATAATTTAATTGGTCAATGACTGGTCCACTTGACGCTACAAACGCTTCGAAGCATACTTTGATTAGTCAATTCGTAAAATTCTTTGTTCTGATTGGTCGTTCAAACGTTTCGAAGAGTTTGTAGCGTCAAGTGCCTTCAAGGGCTGCGTTCCACTTGACGCTACAAACCGCAGCACAGACTTTTGCATAACGCATAATGCATAGTGTATAAGGGAATCGACCAATCGAAATTCTTCTTTTCCATGGAATGGGAGGAAAGGAAAGATTCTGATTAGTTGATTCGCTTATGCACTATGCGTTATGCAAGAGTCTGTGCTGCGGCCTTTACGCTGGCAACGCTCACGAGCATCGTTTGTCCTTGTTTAATATTTAATAAACGACAAGGATGAAATGATTCCACGAGCGTTGTGAGCGTTAAGTAGAATGCAGCCAAGATACACAATCGACTACCAGGCAACACTTATAGCGGGGGAGCTATAAGGTCTGTTCTTTTTAGCTTTAGAGTTCTTGCACGGTTCATCTTTCTTCCTTTTCTTTCTAAGTTGGAGAGTAAAAGAGAAAGGGTGCAGCCACAATAGAAAGAATAAGGAATTAGGAATAAGGAATAACGATTTCAATCTATCAGAAACCATGTATTCTGATGAATCCGATTTCTGATAAGTTGAAATCGTTATTCCTTATTCCTAATTCCTTATTCTTTCTATTGTGGCTGCACCCTTTCTCTTTTACTCTCCAACTTAGAAAGAAAAGGAAGAAAGATGAACCGTGCAAGAAGTTCAGCTAAAAAGAACAGGCCTATTATTCAAGGTCTGTTCGCGTTGCTTGCACTTTTTGAATTTAGCATCTTCGTTCTCTCTCCTTTCTCCTACGCCTGAATATATATTTATCCCATTTTAAGTGCAGCAAACATTGGGTGAGTTCAAGACGGCAAAGCGGCTAGACATGCTTAA